TATCACTGAAACTCCAAATTTTGGGTTCTCCCCAGAAAATTAAAAGAAGGGAAATCTTCCTACGGGGTCACCAGTTCTGGTTACCCGGGGATGGGGTGGGGAAGGAATTCCCTTAATTTGCAGGGATTTACTCTTACTTCCTCTTTTGGCTATGAGATAGTAAGTGAAGGTAAATCCCCCCAATGGGACACAGATAGCAAACAAATCTAACAGGGGTTATAACCCTCCCTTACTCTATCCAGAATAAAAAAAAAAGTATTTCCTTTATTTCGAATTTAAAGAAGAATGAAAAAAAAAAACAGCCAATCACATTTCTGAAACTGATTGCTAGCTGCTGTAGATTGCTGGACATCACTACTGTTTGTGATATAATATGCAAGCCATTCAGGGCAAAAGCTCAGTTGTTCTATATAAGACTATGGAATTGATTTATACAACATTTGTTGGATCAACGTAACACTAATAATTTATTTATTTAATACATTACATTATTTATTTATTTATTACAGAAAATACAGGGAAAAATGTACCCAACCTACATTAGGTTGGATACATTTTTCCTGTATTTTCTGTAATAAATTAATTCCAGTGATTGTTACACCATCTAGTGGTCAAAATGTGGCATATTTTCTCATTAAGGTAGTTCAGAAATTAGCATTTTGCATTTTAGCCAGCAGATGGCGCTAACAATCATAGGAATTATTCTACTACAAAAAATACAGGAAGAATTCACCCAGCCTGCACAAATGTGCATGACACGTGTCCAAAGAATGTATTTAAATAACCCCCTATGCTTATTAATTAAATGATGTTGCAATGTATATTTTGTTACAAAATACATTAATGTGATGATTTATCTATCTTTAACTTGATCACAATCTGATTGTAAAAAGTGCTTTGGATTCACCAACAGCTATGCAGTGTGAGGGTTTACCTGATTAGATAGAGATTGAATAGATTGTTTAGGAATTTTCTTTAACTATAGAATTGCTAAAAGCAATTAAAAAGTAAAATTGTACAGAAAATCATATCAATCAATGATCACTATATACGTTTGTATGTTTTTCAGGCAATTACTACTTACTAAGACATTTTACTATACTGTACTATATTGTATCAGTACTTCATTCAAATAGATTCAGGTACTAGGCGGATTGTTAAATAAAAGCAAACATTGCACAATATTAAAACAAGCATTAAAAAGCATCCACTGCTACAAAAAATTGTGATAAATTATCATTCATTTCTCATGTAATAGAGTAAAGTCCAGTCCTGCAGACTTACAGGATTACACAGTTTATTAAATAGCGAAAGGGGTCACCTTGCACACTCAGACTTAATTGTTTCATATTTCAGGCCAAATAAGTTAGTTCACAAATGATTACACCTTCACTGCAATGCTGTACTTCAAGTAAAGTATTGGAGTCTCATAGCTCTCACCAGATCCCTGTAGGAGAAAGTATATGCCAGAAAGAGGGTTTGCCTCTGAACCCGGGACACCACATGTAAATCGCACAGGAATCGCACCGCATGCAAATGTCTGGGCGGTGCGATTTGAGCCATACATTTTGTATAGCTCAAATTGCATTGCATCCACACCAAAAAGCTGCAGGACCCTTTTTAAATCCACACCTGAATTGCATTGCATGGGTGTTCTCATCCATGAGATGCGATTTCTGGCGACTGCATTTTGTGAACTGTTTCGGGGTGTCATTAATTTATAATTGACACCCGCACTAGACCGCATGCAAATGTGATTGCAATGCGGCTCGGTAAACGCACAGGATTCACAGCATTTCCCGCACCGCATTGATGTGAACCTGGGCTGAAACTAATAAAGTCTTCACTTCCCTTAGAAGCAGTGGAGATATTTATTTCCTCTATGTGCAACAGAAATCAAATAGCCAGATCCTAGAATGAGTAGCCAGCTTTAGAATATAGCCACCTGACCTTAAAGCAGTACTACATTCATCAAAATAACTGTTTCTTAAAACCGTTACATTCTATGCAGCCATGAAGGATAACACAGTTGCTTGTGCTCTCAACTGAACTGCCAATCCTTCAAACGGCTGGTATCGTAACTGATCAGCTGATCAACACCATGGCAACTGCAGATCAAACAAAGACTAAGATGACAGCTTCCTTGGCTGTAAAAGATAAGGGGGTTTAGCTCCACTTTAAAAAATCACTAATAACTAAAACACGCACACACGCACACACGCACACACCCACACCCACATATATTTACTGTAAATATACACTATATTGCCAAAAGTATTGGGACGCCTGCCTTTACACGCATGTGAAGTTTAACTGCATCCCAGTCTTAGTCTGTAGGGTTCAATATTGAGTTGGCCCACCCTTTTCAGCTATAACAGCTTCAACTCTTCTGGGAAGGCTGTCCACAAGGTTTAGGAGTGTGTCTATGGGAATGTTTGACCATTCTTCCGAAACCGCATTTGTAAAGTCACTGATGTCAGACGGGAAGGCCTGGCTCACAATCTCTGCTCTAATTCATCCCTAAGGTGTTCTATCGGGTTGAGGTCAGGACTCTGTGCAGGCCAGTCAAGTTCCAAACTGTTCCCCACAAAGTTGGGAGCATGAAACGGACCAAAATGTCTTTGTATGCTGATGCCTCAAGAGTTCCCTTCAGGGATTGGCCAAGCCCAACCCCTGAAAAACAACCCCACACCCTAATCCCCCCTCCACCAAACATTACACTTGACACAATGTAGTCAGATAAGTACCATTTTCCTGGCAACCGCCAAACCCAGACACATCCATTGGATTGCCAGACAGAGAAGCGTGATTCGTCACTCCAGAGAACACGTCTCCACTGCTCTAGAGTCCAGTGGCGGCATGCTTTACACCACTGCATCTGACGCTTTGCATTGCACTTGGTGATGTAAGGCTTGGATGCAGCTGACTGGCCATGGAAATCCATTCCATGAAGCTGTATATGCACTGTTGTGCTAATCTGAAGGCAACATGAAGTTTGGAGGTCTTTAGCTATTGACTCTGCAGACAGTTGGAGACTTCTGCGCACTGTGCGCTTCAGCATGCGCCGACCCCACTCTGTCATTTCATGTGTCACGGTACTACGCATGAATTCACTGAGCTCCTGTGAGCGACCCATTCTTTCACAAATGTTTGTAGAAGCAGTCTGCATGCCTAGGTGCTTGATTTTATACACCTGGGGCCATGGAAGTGATCTGAAAACCTGAATCCAATGATTTGGATGGGGTGTCCCAATACTTTTGGCAATATAGTGTAAAATTAGAGGCACTGTTTATGTTGACCCACATGACACTCCTGTCCCACTGGCTGACTGAACGTCCTTTCTGCCTAACTATCCTGCTGCTATTGCAACCCTCAGAAAGCGAGAATGACACAAGCACGTCTTCCTCTCTTCTCATGTACCAAAAAGATCTCCACTTCCCAGCATGCACTATGTGAGGAAAAGGGCTGTGATTTCGGATTGCTATAGCAAAATGCTAGTTAGGGAATTCATGTCTTTGCGGGTTATCCGTGTACCTTTCAATGATTTTTACCAAACTTTGTAGCAGAGGCCTATTTGGGAAGTTGCAGTGTCTGCATCCCTTTAGAAGTAATTGACCCTAGGAGAGTTTCTCACCAAAAATATAATTGCAGAGGATGTTTAAAATGTGTATGTTGGTATAGATTTTTAGAAAATCAGTGACCCTATAACAAAAGCAGGAAATTATATTTCTGGGGAAGTTCTGTATACCAACTGTGTATAGAAGGCCTCTTTTAATAAGATTCTATTATAATAGGGCTTTTTATATGCTTTTTTTAATTTGCTATTTTCTTTCATTTAAGTGACATTATTCTTTAAGCATACGGCAAGGAGGAAAGACAATTTTAAATTGACCCTAAAATTTTAATAGAACTGCAAAATGAAACTGTTACTTTACCAAGCAAAACTCTTTCCTATTTAATGAATGAAAAGGTTTTAAACTCAATATGCTGCAGGTGCAAGCCTAGCCAGGAAAGAGCTAAACAACCGTGGTGCTAATTTTATATTAAAATGGATTACAGATCTCTATCGCTAGGTAAAAGCTATGTCAGACACATCTCACCACTGTCACTAAGAAACCATTTTCCTTTATATTCTCAGACTATTTCACAGAAAATGGATTTCTGGATTGCATGTCTAGTCATGTTATACATTGTATTTATTTTTATAATACAATGCCTCAAACCTGTCTATCACTGCTCTCTATGATGACAGTCAAAGAACTATATAGTTTGCATTCTAACACACCCAAACACACACATACACGCGCACACACACACACGTACATGTGTTACGATGATAAATGCAAGCAGCAGTTTATAAGAGCTAAGGAAAAAATTGACCTTATTTTAAAACATAATAGTATTGTATTCATTGCAGAGATTATGCTGTTATATCTCTAAACAAATAGATATATCATTCAAATGGTGTACATTAATTAAAGGATAAATTCACCTGTCTGTATATCTGTGTGCCCATACCTCATACAAGCAGGCAGATATACACAAACAGGGAGAGAGAATAAACTACCACAGTGTTCAACAGTGCCACGGTAGATCATTGAGAACTACAGGTTGACAGCCGCAATGGTTGTAGGGACTTGTAGTTTTTCATGCACAGAATTTTATGAATGAATGATGCAGCCAAGGTGGGCATAGCCCCACATGGCTGTGTCTTTTTGAATTGTGACAGCAGAAGTGGGGGAAGATCCCTGGCCTGCTGTCACAGGGACCTGGGGGGGGGGGGGTGTCGGCTGCAGCGCTAACATGTTACACGTTATAACCTGAACACGGATGCAACATGTCATAAAAGGTGAACATATCCTTTAAATATGTTACATGTTACACCTTGAACATGGATGTAACATGTTAGAAAAGGTGACCATATCCTTTAACCACCTTCCACCCAACCTATAGTACAATGATGGGCGCAAGGTGGTTCTCTCGTTTTGATAGGACGTCATATCACGTCCTACCATTCTCACTACGCATGCAGGCTCAGGGAGCGCGCAGCGCAGCGATTGCCGGTGCCAATCACAGCGATCACATGTAAACACAGAAATGCCGGTTAGCGGCATTTCTCTCCTCTCGAGCTGTCACGCTGACAGCTCGAGAGAGAGAGCGGGTAATCGACTTTCCGCGGAGGGGACATGTGCACTGATCATCAGGGCACTGATGATCAGTGTGCCCTGATGATCAGTGTGGCCCCAGAAGTGCCACCTGTCAGTGCTCATCAGTGCCAATGCCCATCAGTGCCACATGCCAGTGCCCATCAGTGCCACATCAATGCCACATATCAGTGCATACCAGTGCACATCAATGCCAATATCAGTGCCCATCTGAGCTGCCTTTCAATGTCACCCATCAGTGCCAGTCAGTGCCTCCTATCAGTGCCAATGCCAGTGCCAGTGTATCAGTGCTGCCAGTCAGTGCGCATATCAGTGCCAGTCAGTGCCAGTCAGTGACGCCTATACAGTGCCAGTCAGTGCCACCTATCAGTGTCAGTCAGTGCTGCCTATCAGTGCCAGTCAGTGCTGCCTATCAGTGCCGCCTATTCAGTGCCATGTATCAGTGTCATGTATCAGTGCTGCCTTTAGTGCCCATCAGTGATGCCTGTCAATGCCCATCAGTGCAACCTACCAGTGCCTCCTCATCAGTGCCCATCAGTGCCACCTATCAGTGTCCATCAGTGCAGCCTATCAGTGTCCCATCACAGTGCAGCAGCCTCATTAGCGCACATCAGTGAAGGAGAAAAAACACTTATTTACAAAATTGTATAACAAAAACTAAGAAAATACTTTTTTTTTTCAAAATTTTTCAGTGGTTTTTGGTTTGTTTAAGAAAAAATAAAAATCCCAGAGGTGATTAAATACCACCAAAAGAAAGCTCTATTTGTCTCAAAAAAATGATAAAAATTTCATATGGGTACAATGTTGCATGACCGCGCAATTGTCATTCAAATTGTGACAGCACTGAAGCTGGAAATTGGCCTGGCCTGGGCAGGAAGGGGGTATAAGTGCCCTGTAGGCTAGTGGTTAAAAATGCAATAAAATGTGACACTTGAAACTGCATTTAAAGAAAAAGTTCACCCTTTAGACAAAAAAAAATAAATTTAAATTTTTTTTGCATGTAAAAAAATGTGCATTTATTATTTGTGTACAAAGGAGCCTGGAAAGCATTACACCAGCGATCAGTAGATCACTGATGCCATGCAGGTCTTCTGCAGACCTGTCAGAATATCTGCGTGCCATACGGGATGTACGATCAAGCAGATATTCTGATAGGAAGCTTCAATGAACTACCTTGGAGCTCCAAAGTTCATAGAAAACTACAAGTCCACAGCTGCTAGGGCTGTCGGGCCTTGCAGTTCATTCATTCACGGAAGACCATGAATGAATGACGCAGCCGTGTGGGTGGAGCCCCGCACGGCCATGTTGTTTTCAAATCTGACAGATAGTACGGTGGAACTTCTCCCCGTACTATCTGTCAGAGGGAGGTTGGGTGGTGGCTGAAGCTATGGGAACATGTTCCACCTTAAAAACTCGTTCCTAAAGGTGAACTTATCCTTTAATGAACATGTATATCAGATTTCAATGTTCTCTAGCTTCTTCCTTTCTAAAAGTCATTTTCATCAGATTAGTTGAGGGCAACCAATGCTTTTCCAAACTATATCTTTTAAAGTGGTCGTAAAGCCGAAGTATGTGTTACCTAAATGCATTCCTTGCATTAGGGTAAAAAAATGTTTAGGCTGCAGTATTCCTTCTCACCACCTTCCCCTACCTTACCTGAGCCCTCATTCGGTCCAACACTGTGCCCATCTGCAGCACTTTTCTCCCCTCACTTCCTGGTTTCACAGGGTTTGCTGAGGCATCAGAAGCCATTGCCTCCTGCTGTAGTCAATCAAAGCCAGTGACGAGAGAGCAGCGAGTTCAGACAGCGAGACTCAGCAGTGAGCCTGCACAAGTTCCTCCATAGGAAGCAGATTTCTATGGGGGCTCTCGCTGGAGAGGAGGAGCCAATAGCGCTGGTGAGGGCCCCGAGTAAAGGAGGTTTTGGGCCGTTCTATGCAATTCTGGCAGTATGTAATGTAAAGACCTGCTAGTAGATTTATTTTTTAAATATTTACATATACATTCACTTTAACAACAAATTCTACAAACAAAACACTATATTATTAACAAAAAAACAAAAACCTAGCTATACTATAAAAGGAGGAGAATAGGATAACTTGATAGTAACAATAATAGTAATAATAACACTACAAGTTATCATTATTATTATTATTACTAATATTGTTATTTATACTGAAGGTCTGCTGTATGCATAAATTTAACTCTTTGGTTGTTTTTTTGTCTGGTCATTTTTAAGAGATATATAGCATTGAAAGACAGCAAAGCCCAGTCGGTGAACTGTGATTTTTTTTTAGTGTAGTTAAGTAATACAGCTTGTTCTGCTCCCTGTCCGCTGCTTGTTATAGGATAAAACACAACCAGCAGCAGACTGATGAGGTCATTCCTCTGCTCCCTTCTGATATCATCTTGTTCTTGTCAGCTGATGGTTCACCTGACCAGCCTCTATTGCTGCCCCTGCTTCTCCCAGTCTGCTTTCTACTTGTAAGCAAGGGTGGACTGACAGCTCATGGGGCCACCGGACAATAGGGGATCATGGGGCCCCTGTGTCATTGCCCAAACTCAAAAAAGCCATCTCATGGGGGCCCACTACTGACCACGGGTCCTCAGGCAGTGCCCAAGTTTCCAAATGGTCAGTCCACTCCTGCTTGTAGGGATTACAGTAGGCTGCTATCAAATCAAATAAAGGTGTTTATGCTAGTTGCATACATACTGTACTTTATGTTTTTTTCAATCCATAATCGTATTATTTGGTGTTTTATATATCTGCCCAGAGTTCTTATTTAACACTAACCCTAACTAATACTTAAACTAATGCTAAAATGAATCTCTAACACTTAACCTGAATTCATATGTATATGTAAAGTATATCTAATTCCAAGCACTAAAATGTCATATAAGGTCAACCTGATTTCAAAAGTTGTTTTCATTTTCTTCTAATGTGCAGCTTTCGTTAAAAGAATACCTAATGGTCCTGCTATGAAATTAAGGTCCTTGTTGAAGCACGTACTTTAACCACTTACCAACCGGGCCCTTTTACCCCCTTCCTGCCCAGGTAATTTTTCAGCATTCAGCGACCAACCAGGCACTTTTACCGCCTTCCTGGCCAGGCCATTTTTTTCAGCTTTCAGTGTTGTCGCACTTTGAATGACAATTGCGCAATCATGCAACACTGTACTCATGTGAAATTTGTATAATTTTTTTTCACACAAACAGAACTTTCTTTTGGTAGTATTTAACCACCTCCCGCCCGCCATATAGTACAATGACAGGTGCAAGGCGGTTCTCTTGTTCTGGGAGGACGTCATATGACATCCTCCCATTCTAACCACGCATGAGTTACTCCAGGAGCGCGCAGCACGGCAAACGGTGGTGCGCTGTGTCCCTCGGACACAGCGGATCGCCGATCGATGGAAAGAGCCGAAGATGTTGGCTCGGTCATGTGATCAGCAGTGTCCAATCACAGCTGATTGCATTTAAATAGGGAAATGCCGGTTATCAGCATTTCTCTCCTCACGAGCTGTCACGCTCGTGAGAGCCGGTAATCGTCATTCCTCAGAGGGGACATGTACACAGATCATCAGAGCTTTGATGATCAGTTTGCCCTGATGATCTGTGTAGCCCCAGCAGTGTCACTTGTCAGTGTCCATCAGTGCCAGCTGTCAGTGCTCATCCATGCCACCTCCCAGTGCCCATCAGTGCCACATCAATGCCACATATCAGTGCCTACCAGTGCACATCAATGCCACATATCAGCGCCCATCTGAGCTGCCTTTCAGTGTCACCCATCAGTGCCAGTCAGTACCACCTATCAATGCCAGTCAGTGCCACCTATTAGTGTTGCCAATCAGTGTCACCTATCAGTGCCAGTCAGTGACGCCAATCAGTGTGCATCAGTGCTGCCTATCAGTGCCGGCCAACAGTGCCGGTCAGTGCCACCTAACAGTGCCAGTCAGTGCCCCCTATCAGGGCCAGTCAGTGCCACCTATCAGTGCCACCTACCAGTGCCACCAGTGCCATATATGAGTTCTGCCTTTCAGTGCCCATCAGTGATGCCTGTCAATGCCCATCAGTGCCACCTACCAGTGCCTCCTCATCAGTGCCCATCAGTGCCACCTATCAGTGTCCATCAGTGCAGCCTATCAGTGCCCAGCACTGCAGCCTCATTAGCGCACATCAGTGAAGGAGAAAAATCACTTATTTACAAAATTTTATTTAAAAAACTAAGAATAAACTTTTTTTTTTCAAAATTTTCAGTGGTTTTTAATTTGTTTAAGAAAAAATAAAAAACCCAGAGGTGATTAAATACCACCAAAATAAAGCTCTATCTGTCTCAAAAAAATGATAAAATGTTCATGTGGGTACAGTGTTGCAGTGCTGAAAGCTGGAAATTGGCCTGGGCAGGAAGGAGGCCCTGTAGGCTAGTGGTTAAACACCACTGGTTGTTTTATTTTTTGCACTATAAACAAAACACAAAGGCAACAATGTTGGGGGGAAAAAAGGTTTTCTTTGTATACATTATACAATTTTGCAAACAGGTAAATTTTCTCCTTCACTGATGTGCATTAATGAGGTTGCACTGATAGGCAGGAGTGATGGGCACTGATGAGGCAGCAATGATAGGCAGCACTGATGGGCACAAATAGGCTACACTGATGAGGCAGCACTGATGAAGCGGCACTGATGAAGCGGCACTGGTGGGCATTGATGAGGAGGCACTGATGATGATGCACTGATATGCAGCACTGATGGGCACTGATAGACGGCAATGATGAGCACTGACTGGCAGCACTAATGGGCACAGATTGACAGCACTGTTGAGCACTGACGGGCAGCAATTTTGGGCACTGATGGGCACTGATGAGCAGCACTAATGGCCAGCACTGTTGGGCACTTACCTGTTCAGCTATTTGCTTTGACAGTTTCTGATTGCCGAAAGTACTTTCCTTATGCTGTGACAGCGTGAGGAAAGTACTGCCAGTAACCGGCAAGTTTATTTACATAGTGGTCAGCTGTGATTGGACACAGGTGATCACGTGGCAAAAGGCCACTGTTATTGGCCTTTTACCATGTCATGTGATCAGCTGTGTCCAAAAAAGACACAGCAATCACTGACAGCACCGCCACTGGAGGCATTTTGGGGCATGTTCTGGGAGGACGACATATGACACCCTCCCAGAACTGGACTACCACGCTGTAGCGATCATTCAATCATTCAGCTATAGAGCGGTAGTAAAGTGGTTAAAGCAGAACTGATTCCAAAAATGAATGTAAAATTAATAACCCATTAAAACATAAAACATCAAAAGCAGCTT